ATAGTATGAAAAGCTGTGTGGTGAAGACATTTAAGAGATATTTCTTCTAGGCACAAGGAAAATAGGAAAAACGTGAATTTACTCACTGATAACGTGAATCATGAACGAGCCAAAAACGACCATCCAACCCCATCCCCCATCGGGCGGTGGAGGAGTTTCGCTCTCCTCCTCGTCCTCACGTTTTTGTGGCACGTGATGGGACATTCTTGTGGACGCACTAAAACGCACTGCAACACGTGTGTTGGAGCCGTGGCGTCGGGACGACAGCGTTTCGACGGAGCGTCGCGTGTTCCAAACAGCGTCGTTTTCTCAGACCAAATTGTACTGAACAGCAAACTGTAGCGAACATTGTTTTGGAACGATCTTTCACAAGTTGGTTGATAAGCCGGCTTGTTATCGGTCGTCGCCGACTGGTAGGGAGAAATCTGGAAAGCAATGTGAACTTTTGACTTTGGATTCGTGCTTAAATTATCAATTAATGTACGGCTGTAATGGAAGTTTGGAAAACGGTTTGACAAACTTATGAAGCTGATTGACGTTTTTCGAATTTTCTGTTTTATGTACAGGATGTCTTCTGTACGTGTTTGAAAACGTAAACGTACGTGAAAATTTGAAATTTGCTATGAGAAGAAAAATGTTATGATGTTAATGTGACGAAGAGTAGCGGAAATAGCTGGCACAACAAAGTAAATGAAGAAACTATAGAAACTTTGAAGCAAAATAAGCAATTTAGATTAAGGATTAAAATAACGGAAATCTTTTTCGATCGGACTTTAAGGCATTCATGATTTGTAAGGGTTCATTTTGCTACAAAGGTCTCATGCATTCTTTGATCAAGTCGTTCTTGGGTGACAATGACTTCTTTATACAATTTCTTCACCAAAATTCCACAAAGAAAAAAATTTGAAGGTGTTAGATCAGGTGATCGTGCTGGCCACCTTATCTGATACTATCCAACGCTCTCTAAAGTGTAGTGAGTATGTCGGCATATTCATCTGTATTTAGATTTTCTTCAGAACCGCGATACACCAGTTTTTTTTACACAAAAAACAACTTAATGTGTTCAGAATCAGCCTTGCTATTGAACGTTCTTACCATGTAAGGATTTGTGAGGTTCCAATGACGTTTTTGAGTGTATTGAAAATTCCGCAACTTCGGAAAGTTAATATGAAATTAACGCGGGTTTTGAAAGCCGCTCTTGGCTTTTGGCTCTCATTTGGAGAAGCGGTTGAGCGCTAAAGCTTCAGTTGTCTCTGGCGGATAGAGCATTAAAATACGCACTTTTTTTAGTAAAACAATATTTTAGAAATGTTTCAAATTTGTATGCATAATGCAAAAATTCGAATTTAATACCCATGTTGAAAACCGCTGATATTTAGAGAATCAGTTGAGCTTTGAAGCTCCGATTGTCTCTGCGAGATAGAGCATTAAAACACGCACTTTTTTATGCGAAACAATATTTTAGAAATGATTCTAGTTTTCATGAAAAATGCAAAAATTCGAAATTAACACGCGGGTGTTAAAACCGCACTTAGTTTTGGCTCATTTCCTTTCCATTTCCCCATTTTCTCGTTGCTGTTTTACGCATATCTACTGCAAATAAACATAGTCCTTATTTTTTTCTTCAGTTTATTAAACTCGTTTTATGTTCTTTCAGTTGCAGTGGAGTGTTCTGTCGGTGTTCCATTTTAAACTCTGCAATTTCTGTTATTTATCTCACGATTTATCGAACAACGATTTGCAACGACTGCTTTGGCCTAATTTTCAAGACGTAAATTGTGCCTCAAATATAACAGACTGAGCGAATGTTTGAAAAAGCTGAAAATCTTAATTTCAAGTGAACGAAATTTAGCTAAAATCTATAGAATTAGAAGCACCCTAATCAAAAATAATGCATTGAGAAAGGAATTTCCCTAATAAGCAGTAAATCATGTTTGGTTTTACCTTGGCACCTGCTCCAACAGGAACGAGTGTTTTCAATCATTGTTCATCGTTGAAATACAAATTTAAATTACACTTTTTAACACATTTTCTTGCACAATTTTCACCCTAACTGCTGCTGTCCATTACTGCTTTCCAGTTAACTAGTCCATAGCAGGAATAAATCATTTCGACCTAAGAATGGCACGTGACTTGCGCTCTTATAGTCAGCTGATTTTTGATGATTGCTTTACCAAATTTACCATTCTGCAAAGACTGGTAAAATCCATATAATCGCTGTTCAAAGAATTGAGATGTAGAGTTTAAATGGAACGTGGATGAACAAAGCTTTTCATTGAGCACATCGCTAAATATATTATGGCTGGGTGGTAAAGAATGGGGAAAACGGAAAACTCAGCTACGTTTTCTTATCGAAATTTCAATCAAATATCGGGAAAACCACAGCTGATTTTCAATGTTTAGAGGCGCAGTCGCGGAGGCTCTAGATGGGGGAGTTTTGGGGAGTTTCACTTTAAAAACTTCATCATTATTTCAAAAGAACAGAGCTGCGTTTGGAAGGTTTCAAAGCTGGGGAGCATCAGATGTTTCCAGACAGCGAAATATTCAGTTGATCAACAGACAAAACTGAGTCAATTTTGAATTAAAAGTTGCAAACTGCTGCACGTAGTAGTTATTACTGAACAATCGGTGCAAAAATTCCCTTCCAATGAAGACTTCAAAGTATTGCCTAATGGTATGAAGAAATTGAATTACTTGAGCTTCATTTAGTTTATTGTGGGTTCAATCTAGATAGACGAAAATTCCTGTAGAAAAGCGCTTTATTTCATAACTAGCAATACATCGGTGGCAAATATTGTAAAATGGTTCAAATCTTTTATTCTTTTTCCTTAAATAGTTTGCTATTGAAGACAAGTTTATTAATATTAATAATTTTTTAAATTTCAACGTTTCACATTGTCAGATGAAGTAGAATTGGCCTTAAATGTCCGTATTACGACAAATTATGCTGATTTTTGGAATTCAGCGATTGTTGTACAGAGAGAAGACATAAGAAGATACAAAGTTATACGAATAAGAAAACTTCGTTTATTGGTTATTAAATTTTTTTAAGTCAACGATTTTTTCAGTTGAATAATCCGAAAAGCTTTGCCAAAGCTCGAAGCTCTAAAGCATCTCCGACAAAAAAACGTGTAGTAAATTGTATATAAAACTTGAACTAGATAGGAATAGGGAACAAATTGTAAGCGACCTGGGAAAACGAAGCAACCACGCGAGAGCATCAACACTGGTAGGCGGGACACACCCAGGACGGGAGTGGCAACATCGGGACTACTTCACGGCTGACAGGAGACGGCGCGGCGGTACTTCCGGGCAACAACACAGAACATCTGTGGGGTTGCCAGGGGAGATGGATTATTATTGATTTGATGGTGACAGTGCAAGGCGTTCATTGAAAATTATTGAATTTTTATCGATCGTATTCTTCCTTAAATTTAACCCTAACAATATTGCTCCAAATGGGAAAATCCTGATAGGAAATTGACAATTTCACTTTCAAGTTGTTTTGAGTTATCTGCTTGATACTCGGGAAAAATAATTATGAACAGTTGTGCAAGAAAGGTAAATATTTAATGCTTTAAATTGCGTGTTATATACTGGGAAAACTTCATTAAAAATCAAAGTTTTATTTATATATAAAAATGTACTTGCAAAATGGGTTTCGACTGTTAACTTTTTGAGACGGAATAAAAAGCTACATAAAATTAAAAATCCTTTGAGCTTGACCAAAACCGATACGCGTTTGTAGCCGTTTCTTGAAACATGCAAAAAACTTAACAGTTAATCCTGACAGGAAATTAAACAAACAGAACCCGGCTCCCTATCGAATAACTGATCAATAGCTATGTAGAGCTCTCGATTTTGAGCCAAAGATGGCTCTAGTTAGGCAATAGAGGCTTTCACTCCCCCAAATGCCCCAGCTTTTGAAAGCGTAATTTACCGGTCTTCTGCCGATGGTTTTGTCAGTGTAGCACGCGACTCTACTGTAGCCAGACGCAATTATGATCAGCTACAATCGTCGCATCATGATCGGCTACGCGATCGTCGCTTTATTTGGCGTCGTCCAGTCTAGAGCTGTAAGTTTTTTTTATTTAGTAATATCGATTTAGTTTATTTAGTGTGGAGAGAATTTCGATCCAGAAACTTTCTTTTTAATTTGCTTATTGCACTAGTTGTTCTCTGGTTTTTAAATATCAAGTTTGTATTCAGTGTTTAATTTATTTTTGCATACAATGTTGGCCTCAGTAGCAGTTTAAAAATTATTCAAAATATCAGCAGTTATAATCCTTGAGTGTATAACACACATAGTTTTTGCAGCACATTTAATTCAGTTTGTTGCCGCTGGTAATGTCCTGCATGGGGTTGATGAATTGTTTTCGGTTTTTTCCGGCCCCTGAATGCTCGTCCCTCATGTTGAATAATGTTTATGAATATTTATGATTATTGTTTTGTCGCTATAGATTATTGATTTGATGATCTTTATAGTTAGGGGGAGGACCTGATTGAATAGACAAAAATTACCAACAATTATTTATGGGCGCTTTCTACTGGAAGCATTTTGGTAGCCGCCTTGTTTTGAAAAGATTTCAATTAAGCGTTATACAATAAGAGACAAAAATTGCAAACATATTTTTTCTTTTCCACTTTTGCGTCTTGAAATGTGCATACAATGCCTCGAAATGGATAGTTTATGTTATGGCTCATAACTTGCAAGCTGAGGCCTTACGATATATTATTTTTTAATATTTTACTAGAGAAAGTAGCCGCAATAGAACTGTTTTGTTCCAAGAAATTTAAAGTGCTTCCTTCTGTCGTTATAGCGAGATCTTGATGGTTTTTTAGGGAGAATTCGCTTCCATTCTCCTGCCCAGAAATTCATAGTTCTACAATTTTGTGCTTTAAAGTTAAATTACCGGAAAATTTGGCATACATTTTACTCAACAAGGTAAAACTTGACAAAGTTCAAAAATGATTATTTGCAAAGACATAAAATAAATCTTGTAAACTTTTGAGAGGACGCATGAAATTTGATTGATTGACTCAATTTTCTGCAACACTAAGTTATCAATTCAAGAGTCCCTAAACTTTGAAAGTGTTTTGCAAATTTATTCATTATACTTTCCATTAATTACACGATCACTTTGAAAACTTGCTTCTTTGAATTCACCCGCCAGAGCCAAAAATTAAAAACAAATCAATTTGCATAAAATATTCATAGTCGTTCCAATTTAAACAGTTTTTTTTCATTTGAGCTTATGGGAGCCAAAATAAGCGAATCTGGATAGTTCGAAAAAAGTTTTTCAACTTTTGTTGGTTTCCATATATATGCGCGTCATATGGGAGGATTTTGTGCCATTTTTTAAACTATATTCTATTCAAGAACTTTTGACTGTCTTTGGCCTTTGGATGCCTTTTTTGTGATCTCAACAATTCTTTACCGATCGTCACAAATCACAAACTTACGGGGTTTTGTCATACGCGTTTTTCAGTTTCGATTGACAAACCGTAACAGACAGAAGAATTTATCAAAATCTAGTCTCATATCGATGCTGGTAAACTGGTTGTAAGTATTTTTTTGGTTTTTGTTGGCAACTTTGCATGAAAAATTTGTAAATTTGAAATCAACAGGATTTTTTCCACACCTTAACCACTCATTTACTGTATACTTTCTTCAATATTTTGCGTTTAATTGTAGACTGTTGGGTATGTGTTGGAGTGTGTCGTTTATACACAGATGTTTCACTAATTTTGTGTCATTTTAGTTCCACAGATCGTCACTTAACTCAACGAATTCACTCTTGGTTTGTTTTCTTTCAGTTACAGTTTTATTGTCCAATACTTTTCTTGATAGTTGTTCACACGCTCGTGTTCACTTTTTAGCTCCCAGAACATCGAAACGTTAAAGAAGCAATTGTTAATCAAAAAACAACATTGACGAAATTATTCACAATAAATCTTCTGCGAAATCAAATAGAACGATGGAAAAGTTGAACCTGGAAAATCCTACACACAATAGAAGCCAATGCGTTCATAATCTCTGAAAAGGCACTTCTCTTTTTAAGCTTTAATGAAGAAATAAACAACCGAACAAACGCTCAAAATATGTAGATTAGAAGTAATACCATAAGCTTAAATAAATACAGTTTACCAAGACATTTGTGCTGAAAGCAAAGTTTATTTTCATGTCAAAATTATAGTCGCAAACAAATTTTCAGATCCTCCAAGGGCAAGATTTTGTTTACGTGTACATGCCAATAGCAAATTTATTTTAATGACACCCGGGGATTTCATTTTCCAATTCCCAATGCAACGCGTTTGGAAAAGTTTCTGCAACTCCAGAAGTTTGAAGCAAAGTTTTGAACTCACTATTCAATACTGGTTTAACAGATAAGACAATTTGAACGTTTGCCAACTCTTCCATGTGTGTTCCATAACTGATTACTTGCTGGTCAATGATTCAATGAGACTAAAGGTATTCAAAATTATCACAGTACATCTTGTAGCGCGTATTTCTCAAAAGTTGTTTCCGTTGAGTTTCTTATTTGATTAYAATGCAGGTGAWTGTTTYAAGTTGCCAATTTAATGTTTCTTTAGTTATACGTGGAATTTATATACAAAATATATTTTATTTCCTCAAGCGATAGTCACAGACTTTTAGTAGTCSTCACCACAGTTGAGAATCTGGGCTGGATTAATGTGCTCGGATAGTCCTTCATATCTGATTAGGCCCTCAAATTTAACGCTACAGTTTCTTGCAAACAGCAATAAATAACAGAATCACCGTCGTGAGTTTTCGAAATTCGAAAGTCTGATACGAAATTGGAAAATAAATGAGAAAAGTTTTATTGACATAATATTATCGAAACTTTCCGAGAACGACTGGATTTTCTTAAACCCGGACACCACTGTGAGCTTTAGAAAGTCTCTACTGGATACGTTTGTCGAGGGTTTTATATCGCCGTTTTAGAGCGCTCACCATACGCTTTGTTGTGTGTTAAATAATAATCAAATTTCAAAATTTAAGAAGCGTTTTTGACCTTATTCAAAAGCTTATTTTTTTGGAGAAAATTGCAACACTCGATCATCAAAATTTTTCATTTTTCATGTTTGTTTCATTCAATTTTTGTAATTTATTTTCGCACAACTCCCTTCTTAACCTGATATTTATGATAATTTTCCAACCAGAATGGATAAAATTATTCAGAAAATTGGACGTGAGTTCATTTTCATAGCAACACGCTTTCAATGCAAACTTTTCTGACCCCAATATCCCTTAATGAGCCCCGCTTAATAAAAGAGATGATTGAGAGGTTTAAATATAGCCATGAAAAATAATTTTAAAGAGCTTTAGCTGTTTGTTATTTGAATGTAAAATTGAGGTATTTTCTTCGAAGGGCCACGGGTTTTTGAAGAACGAATGTAAATACCGAAATTGGGGTTTCCCGGTTACTGTTTAATTACCCTCAAAGGCTCTCGAACAGTAAATTGAGAGGCGCAGCCAAACTGAACGAAAGAACCTCATATCACACAAATTTCCAATTAATTTCATTGTTGATTAAACTTTCTATTATTCACGGTTGTGATATACAGGCAAACACATTATGCTTGAGAAACAATTTACTTACTTGTCTCCAGCGTTGAACATTGTCGAGCTTTTTCTATGTAATTAGCTTTTAATTTCAAAGTTGCGCCATTAAATTAGTGTTTTCGGAAAGTTGAGAATAGTTTGAATAGAGCTGAATGTATTATGAGAATAACTAACTTTGTCAGAAACGGTTTTTAGACTGTGGGCGACGCAAAACTTTTGAAATTATGTTGCAATTAAACTGGTTCTATTAATCGAAGTAATACAAGCTGCCGCTGTTAAACTAAATTAAAACTTCCGAAATTCTTGTGCTTTTAAATATTAAGCTTAATCACTTTTAATAGTGAATAATTAATATGAGAAGACCAAATTTCATTCGATGGAAATCCTTAGAAGTCAATTTACAAATGTGAATACTTGCAAAAAATACTTTTCTACTGAAACAAGCTGATGTTTTACTTGTCTGCAATGTTAAAAATAATCAAAAATGGATCTAAAATCTAAATTAAGTCCTGAAATTCAAAGCCCTCAACGGAGCCTGCTGCATTGCAAGTTTCTCAAGTAGTTTCGAACGCCAAAACACAACGTCCTTCAGTTAATTTGATAGTATCCGTTTAATACTGAAAGTTGCATCAAACAGAACAATTTAATATTGCACGAAAACTTTCGAAAATACTCTCTGAACGTTCTTCCTCGAACCCTTCTCTTTTCGAAATTTAAGCTTTACCTCGATAAAGTTTCCGGAAGTTCTCCGACAACGTAATTGAACGATACAACATCGGTACTGATATTTCCTCCAATTAAACAGAAAAAGTTAAAGCTAAGTTTCCTCGGGTTTTCAAGTGGAAACTTTAAATGAGTCTCGTTTTGAATCGTACGGAAATCTGTGAAAATCGCTAAGGGTTAATGGAAAATGTCTATTTCTTAACAATTTTTATTACTATAAGTGTTACTAAAGAAGAAAAAGTATGCAAATTATTATAAAATCAAAAGAAAATTTGTGGCAGATTCATTCGTTATTTAGTCAAAAGTTATGGGTTGAAAATTTGCTGAATTTTTCTCAAGTAGACGAACCACCCTCGAAATACAGGTCACATCAAGGAAGTTTAAATAATACGCTTTTGTGCTCAGAAAATTCAACTTCTTCGTGCACACTAATTGAAAAATATGTTAAGTTTCAGATATAATGCACTCTTACCTTGGTCACCCTGTAGAATGCTCTTGTTTTCCAATATACCGGGTCTCAATTTGAACACTTCCCATCCTTAAGGTCCCGCCAACGATTTAAGTCGCAAAAATCGTCAACATTTCCTTTACAATCGCTAATTTTCCAGTTTAAAGTCACAATTTCGGGTCATCCAATCCTTCGAGAGGCAAAAAAAAAAACGTGTAAAAACCGGTTAATTTAAAACTTCAATTGCAATAAATACGGCTTTACTGACAACTGATTTCAAAGTTGATGTGTTTGTATTGACTCGTTGCCATGGTGCA